ATTGCACTCCAGCCTGGGCAACGAGAGCGAGACTCCGTTTCAAAAAGAAAAAAAAAAAAAAGACTAGAGCCTTTGAAGAAACCATTAGTAGAATCATGTTGGCCCTTGAGAAGGCTGCAGGGGAGAGCTTAAAGGGAAATGAGGAACATGTTTTTGTGAACTGGAGGAAAAGAGTCTTTGTTATGTAGTGGCAGCAGTTCAGTACAATTGTCACCTGCAGTAATGTGCAAAGTAGAAATTGTGCCTAACCAGCTGAGTGTTCTAGCTAAGGATATTTCATGGTAGACTGTTGAAGGTGCTAACTGATGTTTTCTTGCTGATTACATCAAAATGTGAAAAGAAAGAGATCATCTAAAGGAAGGACTTAAGAAAAAAAATCTGGAACTTGCGAGTTTTGAAAATTCCCAGCTTCCCCAGATGGCAAATGATGCTACTGTGAAAAAATGGCTTCCAGGCAAAGAAAAACTCCAGGACATTCCCAGGAAAACACCATTAAATGATGAAGGTAAGAGTGCGGCTGTAAAATCCTTTGTTCAGACCTCAAAAGGATCTACAGCAGTGATTCAGAGAATCATTCAAACAATAGAGCTCTGAGGAAGTTTACAGTGTTGCGCTTCAGCAGTTTCACTGAGGGACTCTACAGAGAAGGGTTGATCTTGAAAAGAGCTGTAGGTATAATTTTTGTCCAATGGTGTGAGCCCCAATTCAATTTATAGAAGATTCACAAAGTTTTCAAAACAATTCTTTGGCAGAAGCACTGCCAGCATGGACACACAGAGACAGTACAAAATGAAAAGTAGCCTTTGCACTTCCTAAATTCTACTTGCAATAAGCAAACTGATACAATTACACAGCTGCAAACATGAACTACTTTTAATGGAAAAGGAAAGATGACTCAGAGTGGTATCAAGAGCTCAACGGGTGAAATAAAAGACATGGGGAGTCATTCCTGAACAAGGAGTAGGTTTGAACCCTAATCAAACAACTTTCAACATGTGTCTACCCGGATTTAAGGATTCTATGGCCCAGTGACTTCTGAGGCCTCTAGTCTTTCCTCCTTTTTGAACAGGACTGTTTGTTTGTACCAGTTATCTCTCTTTTTTTTTTTTTTTTTTTAGGCAGAGTCTTGCTCTGTCACCCAGGCCGGAGTGCAGCAATGTGATCTCAGCTCACTGCAACCTATGCCTCCTGGGTTCAAGCGATTCTCCTGCCTCAGCCTCCCAAGTAGCTGGGATTACAGGCATGCACCACCACGCCCGGCTAATTTTTGTATTTTTTAAGTAGAGATGGGGTTTCATCCTGACCTCAGATGATCTGCCCGCCTCGGCCTCCCAAAGTGTTAGGATTACAGGCATGAGCCACTGCGCCCAGCCTGTACCAGTTATCTTAAACCTGTCCCACCATTGCATGTTGGGGTGTGGGAGACACAGACATTCAAATGAACTATACTTGAGGAGCTGCACTTAAAACACTACATCTAAGAGCCTCATCCACACCTGGTCGCAATTTAGATGACAGGGCTTCAGACTTTGAGCTGATAATGTAATGGGTTGAGACTTTTGGGGACCTTGGGAAGAAGTGAGTGTATTTCGCATTTGGGAGATACGTGAATCATTGGTGATCAAAGGGCAGACTGTGACAGCCAACCTCCAAGATGGCCCCAAAGATTCCCATCTCTTGGTATTCAAGCCCTTGGGGAATTTCTGCCCATACTGAATAGAGCTAATCTCTGTAACCAATAAGCTATGTAGGAAATGATGGCGTGTGACTTCTGAACTTAGGTCATAAAAGACATTGCATCTTCCATCTCGCCCTCTCTTGGATCCCTTGCTTTGTGAGAATTCAACTGCCCTGTCTTGAGGACATTCCAGCAGCCGTATAGAAAGTGGTGAGGCCTTTTGCCAACAGCCATGTGAGTGAACCATCTCGGAAGCAAATTCTATGCTTGTAGGTAAGCCTTCAAGTGACTATAGCACAGCCAACATCTTTACCAAAATCTCCTGAAAGACCCTAAGTCAGAACCACTTAGTTAAGTCACTCCCAGAGTCCTGGCTCAAACTATGTGAGACAATAAATGTATATTGTTTTAAGCTGCTACATTTTGAGGTCATTTTCTATGTAGCAATAGGTTAATATAACAAGGGTGCTCTTTGTGGACACTCCCAAAGAGACGAATTCCTGGGTAATCAGATGGTTGGGATTTCTGTGCAGAGGGGTACAGAGATCTGCCTCACTGAGTCTGCCACACCTTGTCACCAGAAATTTATGAAGTCCCTTTCTAATAGTTTAATCTAGCCAAGTGCGGTGGTTCACACCTGTAATCCCAGAACTTTGGGAGGCCGAGGCAGGTGGATCACTTGAGTCCAGGAGTTCGAGACCAGCCTGGGCAACATGGCAAAACCCCATCTCTACTATAAAAACAAAAGTTAGCCGGGCATGGTGGCACACACCTGTAATCCTAGCTACAAGGGAGGCTGAGGCAGGAGAATCACTTAAACCCGGGAGGCAGAGGTTGCAGTGAACCAAGATCGTGCCACTGCACTCCAGCCTGGGCAAAAGAGCGAGACTCCATCTTAAAAAAGAAAGTTTAATCTGCCTGCCTCTAAGACCCTCTCTCCACAGAGTGCTCAATGAAGAAATGTGAAGTGTCAGATACTGAACTGCACAGTATTATATTTTAACTTTCTGTCAAGTAACATTAGGAAGAAAAAAACATTATAACAATAATGACGACATGACTCCTCTTCCCACCACCAAAGACCCTGGATACAACAATATCCTTTTAAGATATTAAAAAGCCCAGGCCTGTGGCTCACACCTATAATCGCAGCACTTTGGGAGCCTGAGGTGGGAGGATTGCTTGAGTCCAAGAGTTCAAGACCAGCCTGGGCAACATAGTGAGACCCTGTCTCTATAAAAAATACCAAAACAAGTAATGGGGCTTAGTGGCTCATGCCTGTGGTCCCAGCTACTTGGGAGGCTACTTGGGAGGACTGCCCTGGGCAACAGAGAGAGACCCCGTCATGAAAAAAAAAAAAAAAAAAAAAAAA